TTTGAAGTTTCTACAGTTTTTCGTGTTTGAATAACAACAAAATAAGAATTTCGGTACAAGAGAAATTGTGTGAATATATAATGTTGTAATTCAAATACTCATAAAAATTTAATTTGACTTTCTGGGAGATATTTTTTTATTTGATAAAAGTAGATAAACTCATAAAAAATCTTGTATTGAAATTTAAATTCTTAGATTTAAAAAGATAAATTTTTATGAATTTTTAACTCAAAATAAATTGCAAATTTTCGTTATTTTTACGTATTTTGTCAAAATTCAAACTTTCAATGCTTATTAAGAAAAATTGTGACAGTGTAATTTTATATTTTTTAATTACTATTGTGACAATAAACTAGGAGGCTTGTATTAAATTTTAAAGATATTTTACCTTACAAATAAAATTGTATTGTAATTTATAAAAAAAAACTAAAAGATTGAAAATTTCAAATGTCTATAAATAACTTGAAAAGATTTGAAATATTTTTAAAATTTTATCAAGCTTGGAAAATGTCAGTATAAATATTCAGTGAAAATTTCAGGTGTCTACCGTAATTTTTTTTAGAGTTACACTTATATCTGAAATAAGTTGTTGAGAAAATTGATTTTGCGTAAAAATTCCCGTTTTTCCTTAATTTTTTTTTTTTTGTTTTTCCCGGTGCTTTTAAAAAGTAATGGGAATTTTTAAATTTGACCTCCTCTATGCACCAACTAGATTCACCTTCCAACTGAAAAAACTACCAAAGTTCAAAATCGACGCATTATTTTGACAACTTATCGTGTACACAGGTACACACAAAAAAAAAAAACACCCAACATTGTAAAATCAATACATTCATCGTTTCGTTCAAAATCTAAAATACTATTTTGTAAGGTATTATGAAAAATCACACGTTCTTTAATTTTTCGGAGGTGGGAGATGAATTTATTGATTTCATGTGATGTGTGTAAAATTTTTTCTAGTACTAATGCTTTGGTTTATAAAGATAAAAAATCTACCTAGTCTCTTGTGAGGTAAAATGAGAAAATTCACAGCATTTTTAAAAAGCGTTTGAGAAAAAAAATAATTAAGCAAAAACCGAAACTGAAAAAGTTTTCGGCAAAATCGATTTAGTAATGAGYTGTGTGAAGTTAGCGGGTTCACGAAAAGCACTAATTCCAGCTATACTATCAATTTTTAGTGCTCAATTAGTGTTCAAAGAATATACAAAATTAAAAAATTAGTGCTCTATCCTAACATCGATTATCCACGATTATAAAAACGTCCCCCTAACTTCACGCAGCGGGATCACGAAAAGCACTAATTCCTGCTATACACCTATTTTTAGTGCTCAATTAGTGCTTAAAGGATATACAAAAATAAAAATTAGTGCTCCCTCCAAACCAGAGTTATCGCCATCCCCGTTTTCAACCTGGCGGGATCATGAAAAGCACTAATTCCCGCTATACTGCCAATTTTTAGTGCACAATTATTAGTGCTCAAAKAATATATAAAAAACTAAAAAACTAAAAAACTAAAAAACTAAAAACTAAAAATTAGTGCGCTATCCTAAAATCAATTATCCACGATTATAAAAACGTCCCGCTAACTTCACGCACCTAATGTAATTAAAAAACAAATAACAGTTGATACAGTTTTCACCAAATATTTWTTTTATTTTTTTTTTTTAAATAATATATTTATCTTATAGTCATCATTCTTAAATTAGTTAAAATATTTTATAATTATCTATGAATAGGTTGATGATATGTAATGTTAACCTTTTTACCTTGTATTATAAAAATTAATTTGTACTACAGTTTGTCAATTTATTAAATATTATTTATTATTATAACTAACCTTTTCCATTGAATAAATATGGTATAAATAACGTTTAGTTGAATGTAGTAATTTTGATACCTACTAGGTAACGTCTAAAAATGTTCACTGATAATTTAATGTGCACAAACCTCTATTAGGTATAACGAATTTTGTTGTTTCAATTACATTTACATTATTATTTAATACAATAATATCGCACAGTTTGACGAAAAAATGGTAATGGTAATAATTTTTATAATTTGAAAAGTGAACAGTATAGTTTGGATTAAAATTTTCAAAGTATCTMGTTATGTGTACCATAATAGTATTGTTTGGAGATTCATATTCAAACCAAGAAATATAATAGAAACTAAAGTTAATCTTCTGTTATGAGTTTCTACATGACATTCCTCCATAGTTCAAAATATAATATTCTCAGAAACAAAAAATACTAGTGCTAATAATCTCCAKGTGGAATAATAATAATAATGTAAGGTTGCATTATCTTGATTAATATTAATGCATTATAATTTAATTAACTGAATTACAAAATAATTTAAATTATCTAATTATTAGTATTATTAATTTAATATTGCTATTTAAATAGAAACTGTATAAACTGTAATGAAAAACACAAACATGAAACATAATATTGTGATAATATAATACAAAAATCTTTCTAAGGTATTTTATGAATAGTTTACTGATGCTGGAGTGTATTTTTTTTCTTTTTACTTATAACAATAATATTTTTTGAAAATATAAAACGAATTCGGGGTAAATAAAAATATTGTATGAATATAATTTACATTTTAGTTTTTTATTTGATATAAATTACTTGTTATTACTACGACAACATTAATAACAAATTGAAATACAAACCTGTACAACTCGGGCAACTGAATTGTTCCTTATTTTTACCAATTATGATTTTTTTTTTCTTTTAGTCCAAAACAAAATTATATTTTAAATATTCAACGTTTTTCTGTTTAATTTTTTTTTACTGTTTCACCATGTGGATACCTCATTCGGTACCAAAGACAACTTTTCACCAGTTTATCCCTTCAGATGCATTTGTCTCATGCAGGTTGTGGACGAATAAGGTCGAGCATGTTATAAGCTCTGTGAATTTTAGCTGGGCGGATTGTATGCCAAAACCATTAAAGTTACTTTGCTTGGACAATATTTCCAAACATTTTTCATGGTACCCCGAACAGTTGTTCGAGTGGATTACTTCTAAGAACACAGAATACCTCGTGGAAACACTTAGTACAAGTTTACCGATATCTTTAGTCATCCATGTCCCAGGTGATGAGTATTGGCGTCGTCGGCACGACAACACGTGGCCGCCAAACAACGTTAAATCAAAGCAGCGGAACTCTGCATTAGTTTCAGATACCATCAAAAATATTTACATAACAAAATATGTATCGGAAATAATTGAAAACTTAGAACCTGGGTATGTCGATGAGATTGAGCTTTCCGAGATATTGAAGGTTTGCAGCCCATACGTCACTGCTATAGATTGTAAACAGCTGCGTATCCAGAGTTCGATGGTACACACATTGGATGACGATGAACCTAAGGGTATTTTACCCCACGATCCAATTCACATAGATATGAGATTCGTGTTGGGTGTTTTAAAAAACATTAGGGATTTAAGTCTGGTTTATGGTTCCAGGACATTTACACTCGAACCCAAGACGTATACTTCAGAACAGTATAGGTTCAACATTGATGATATGGACACGCTTGGTCGTGGCTTGGTAATATCGGAACATCTGACAAGCTTGGCCATTACTAAAAGTGAATTAAATATGGCAAAGTTCAACAGGCTACTACCATATTTGATGGAGTGCTGTAGTCTCGAAGAGATTAATTTTTCCTTTTGTAAACTAAATTCACTAGGTGGAAAATCAGTAGCACATTTCATAAAAACTGCGAAAATGTTAAAGCTGGTAAACTTATGTGGTAATAATATCGGTGCAGATGGAGTTGAATCGTTATCATTTGTTATGTTATGGAGGCGAAATAATGACTACCCGGCGATTGAGTTAAATTTAAGTACGTACCTATTTACAATATAAAATCAAATATTATATTTTTAACTTTAAAAATATAATATCTTTAATTGTATATAACTATATAAACGTTTAAAACTTGATACGTCTAAAATATATTAGTATCATGTGTTCATTTTTAGTATCAAAAAAGCTTATATTTGTACCTATAATTAAAAAAAAAAAAAATACCTAACTACTCATAAATGGAATAATAATGCATTAACGCGACAAACATTATACTACATAACCAAGAACTATGATTTCTTACAATCATGATTAATATACATAGAATATCTCACATTTATTTAGATATGAACAATATAAGTGACATTGGTGCCAAATATTTAGCATCTGCTTTAGCATCAGGAGTTCAACCTTTGACTAAACTTCGGATTCGTAATTGTAATATAACAAAAATCGGAGGCTTAAACATTGCTCAGTCATTAGCATATGACTGTGGATTACGTGTTTTAGAAATAGATAACAATCCATTAACATTAGAAGTGGCTATTGAATTACACACATTGTTGAAAACAAATTTGAGTATCACGCACTTTTCTATTCAAAATTGCGATTTCCCKCAGAGCATCACAAAATTTTTGAACAGCGTAGCGTTTTATAATAGACACGGAAAACGCTCTGAGTTTATCTACGTAGATATCGAGTACTTATGCTATGATGAGGACGTAGAAGGTGAAAATATTTTGCTAGAAGAAGATACAATGGATTCTGAAACTATTGAAAATGAGGAGAAGGAAAGATTGGTGTAAATCGAAAGTTATATTAGTATAATAAATAATAATTCGTAAAAAATGGTAAATTTACATAAATGTTAAAATTGATTATACATATAATAGTTTTGCACTAACATGTATAGTAATATCGTAATAAGAGGTTTAAAYGATGAAAACAATATATATTATATTATTCTAGAATTAGGTATAGGAAAACGGAACCAGCGTATTATGTCACGATGTCACATTAAATTAGTAAATATTGGTTAGATGAGTATTTTAAAACGTTTCGTTCGTAATTTTTAGATGGAACTTTAAAATATTAAATTTAAAAAAAAAAAGTCATGTAGTTAATAGGACTTAAAAGAAAAGTTACGATGTATTATTTGTTCCAAATAAATAGGGCTGCTTTCTATGAATTTGAAATTTTGTTTATTATTCTAATTCCCCATCCCTACCAACCATTATTCATGTCCTTTCATAACTTTACTTCTTCCAACAGTTTTAGTCAACGAATTGTTTAGATATTATTAGCGAGAAGTTTTCCAGAGGTTTTATCAACGCAGTAACATTTGTGAACGGTTAAGGACAGACGTTTCAATTACAGACAAAATTTTCACAGGCTGATTTTCCGGATGGCAGATGTCTAGTTGATCTAATTTTCCCCTCTCGACCACAACGCGTGATATTCATGCTGGGATATATGTCTGAATCAWTTGTGTTACATTATTTGCGATTATTCGGCTTATTCGACACAGGAATAGTCAATTAAATTAATTTTGACGAGTAAGCCAACCAGAGAACATCGTTGAAGCGGTGGTAACAATCATATGGATATAAACTAAATATAATGAAATTAACTTTATGAAACCTAAACGAGATAAAATACGTATTTGAGCTTTACTACGTGGCCATGGTAACTTTGATCTACCACTGAATGAAACATGAAATAGAATACGCCATGTTTTGACACTTATCTGATGGCAGAATATGATTTGTGAAGTATTCAATATAGAAAAGTGCAGCGCCATACTAACATATATCTGCCGTGCTTGCCAAATTGAAATTGATATAATTATAACGTGCTGTGTTTATTTATATTTCAAATGCATATAATATTAGTTATTAYACAATACGTCATATTTATTTATTTATTTATATAAAATCAACGGGTCAAAGCTCTCTAACAAATAAAGTAAAATATTACATATCAATTGGCATAATATGCAAACTCATAGACAATARCAATAAAATTAAATATAATTTGGCACTATGTTTTGAAAATAACAAAGTTTTAGTATTGTATTATATAGTTTAAATATATAATATAATATTTAAATGTTTAACAACAAATTAACTTGTTATATACTTATAATAAAATATGCTAACAACAAAACCACTTATTAACAAAAATTTAAATTCAACTTTATATAAAATTTGAATTTTTAGTCATTTACAGAAAAAAAAGCTTTGCTAGAATTAGAGACAGGAATTTTTCAATTACAAAGAAAAACAGAAACAATTACAGTAGATTCAAGTTAAAATTAACTTTTATACAAATTTATTATCAACGTGGTTATTTTTACGATTAGGTTAACCAATGACAAAATCGAATAATAAGTTCACAAAAGTTTACTTTATTTATAATGATTCAAGGTAACATCAAGAGTATTGAGTTGTTTCACTGTCCAAAAAAGTCTACAGATGGAAAAAATAATATATTACCTGATGAATACTTWATTTTTAATTCAAAATTTATAAATGAATATTGTTAACTAGCGCATGTTATACCGATTAATGAACAGTAAAAAATGAACAAATACATCGAACAAATTTTAAGATTAAAATCAATTGGCATATATTTTACAGCGTATAATTATAAGGCTATTTTTAAAATATGTTGTATTAATTACATGGGCTTATTCTTTTTGATCTCTGTACATAAATATTTTTCACATTCTATGGGTATCCTGCACTTTTGCGACAAATTATATCTTAATTTACGTTTAATTATGTACTAAATTTACTATACAAGGTAGTGCGTTACTGCACAAAATGTTTATAACTTTAGCTTGCATGCGTACATCATCGTTGTGGTGTAAAATAACGTGGTTCTAGAATATTTCACAGTTGTAGGAAGAAGATGGTTTTAAATGTCGAACAAACAGATTAAAATTATAACAATAATTACTCGGTGCTCGGAATAATTTGACAAAATATATGAAATACGACGGCCGTGTGTGCAGTGTCAAAGCGCAACGTACAAACAATAACAAATACCAACGAGTCAACGATGTAACTAATGTGGGTATCTGAAGCTTACATTTTAATTTAATATGTGGAAAGTAATTAGGAGATCGCAATAATATTATTCGGCGGATAAGTTAATATGTGATGTGCGTATCTGTTGAATATCAAAATTATGCAGGCGTAAAACCAGTATGTGGTTGTGTCGACGGTGTCAATTTAATGTTCAACACTGGAACAACATCTAGGATACATGATGATGGTTACATTTATTTTTTCTAAACATAATTTTTCTCATATCATATTTCTTCCATTTATAACATTTTTTTAAACATTTTAAAGATAATTTTTTATTCATTGGATATTTTAAATTATTTTGATAATAATACTATAGTCATTTATAATATTACACTACCTATAAATAATTATATCTATATACCGAATATGAAGATGACGTTTGACTAAGGTATGGAAAGTAATATTCATAATATTCAAGACCACGATAACTATGATAGATCGATGGTAGAGCTATGGTGCATCATAAAATATGGCATCTGCATGATACAGCAATATTAAAGTTTGGGGCTTAAATAAATTGATTTATATTAGTTTCAAGTGTATAAAGTCCAAATAAGATCCGTTATGATAAAAGAAATGCTGGGTGTATAAAAAAGTGTACGTACTAAACAATATTAAGCGAATACTCTGAAGAACAAAATACAATTAAATAAATCGAAACAATGTGGTGGAATCAAGAAGAATGTTTGAAGGGAATTATTAAATACATTTTGTAGAGAAACTAAAGATCTGTGTGAGAATAAGCCACTCTCAGATGTTACATACAGATCTAACTAGGCTAATCATTAGATGAAAGAATTCTGAGTAAAATTTTTCGAAAACAAAACTGTAAAAAGTAGCACGTAATGTTGCTATGCATAATATTAAAGTATTGTATAATTTTTTTTTTTTTATTTATCATCATACCATGAAATATTGTTTTGGGTCTAAAATTTTAATAATGACATTTTCCTAACCTAATTTTTGCGATTTTGTTTGTATATACTAACTCGCTACTTGAAATTGTTCACAACATAAACAATCTGAGAATTATAGATATTTTTTTATTGATGATTTGCGTTTTCATGATTATAAACAGTGTTACGCAGATTGGTTGGAAACAAAATAATAATAGGTACCATTGATAATATTTGTTTAATAAATAAATAATTATAATTTATATCTTTGGATAYATAATTTTTTCGATCGAAGATTGTATTCCAAAAGTAGTGGGCATTATATTATTATGGAGACTGATAACTTGTGTAAATATGACRAAAATATGACGAGCAGTGACCTATGACCGTTGTTATGGCAAACCTTTGTATCTGCATCGTTTTAATTTCGATTTTTTTGATATCTGTTAATAATACGAAGACCGTAATATCGTGATAGGAATACTGGCAATATAATAATATTACGTACATAATGACAAAGTACAATATTATCAACGATACGATTCAGGAAAATTAACACGTTTCTCATTAATTATGATTTGTTCGTTATCTTAACTATAATTAAGGACACTGCGATAACGCTCCAACACGTAGGTAGATATTCTTTATAGCCAATAACACATATAGGTTCTTAGGTCATATACATATTATAACATTATATTATTATATGCGTAATATATATTATAATACATATGAATTATTCATATCCATATTTTCCTATTATTAGGTACCTAAGTATAAGAAAGTGTATTTGATAGTCGCAGAATAATAACAATATTTTATAGCTTATTATCTATTCATGTGTATTGATTTAAAATGATATGTATAAAAGTGAATGGAAAGTGGCTCAGGTAGATGGCTTATATGATATATTATTTTTTATCTTATAGGTAACATTATTTTGTATGGACATGAAAAACAGTTCAAAATAAGTTTCCCAGAATAATATAATAATAAAATATTTTATGTGGTCTATAAACAATACATGTATCAAATGATAGGTAGGTATTTTTGTGACAAGTTATAACTAAAACTGCTTCATTACTGCAGAATTCGTACATACTAAAACGCTAGTTTATAAGGTTCAATTATTTGATAAATTTAATATCATTTATGACTATTGATATTACTAATATTAGTTTTTAATAATATTAATTTGTACTAAGTAGACAATTATTATTTTATAACATAAGTTTCAAATTATGTTATTTATAACATGATATTTTGTTAGAATAAGTCAGGTGAATGGTTTCACACATTTTTACAAAAAAAATTTCATTAGTACTTACTAAAAGTGACTTTTTTTTTGTGATTAGAATATTAAAGTTTATGTTTTTTTTAAAATTCATAATAGGTATTCATTGTAATATAATTGTTTAATTTTTGGTTTCTGAACATAGGTTTGATACACTTTATATCTATAGTGCCTATCCGTCCGCCTGTTAGTTAACAGTATATAATTACGACTACCAATATAAAACAAATATTTTTAATTGCTTATAGTTACTGATTATAAACTACATATGGAATTATAATTTATCGTGTTGTTTTCGTACACGTTTAGAAACCAAGAATTTAGTACGCTCGCAGAGTAAACTTTCTTAATTTATTTTGAATGGGTATCTTTTATAAAAATAAATCATGTAAATAATATAATAATATACTTAAAAAAATTATCAAATATTTGTATAAGTTTATTTCTATTATATAAACAGTTAAATTAATTCAAAATTATGAACCAGTTATGTTGGTTTGTTTTCTCAAATTTAAAGCATA